AAAACCCTGATGCTGCAAGCTATCTATTGTTTCTGAAGAAACAATGAAGTATCCCAATCAGTATATTTGCTATCCATAGGAATTTCAAGCTGGCTCCTATGTGTCTGGTTACTCCTTAACCTTATGTTTTTCCTGATTATCAATCAGTTTCTTGAGATGTTCCAAACCAGATAACCCTTGCCACTAGAAAAGACAATTATATACATTATTAAGAACGCTTTGAAGGAGCTGAACTGAGGGTATAAAAATCTGTTTAAAAAAAGCAGCAGTGTGTGTGTGCTTCAAAAGGAGAAGTCTCTCTGACACCATCCGCTGTCGTTCTCGAGAAGCCGGAAGAAACAGATCGTCTCCCTTCAAGGATTGTGCTAAGAACTTTACCTGTCAGCATGGAAACCCAAGTGCCTTGGACCGGTGAGATCCCAGCTCTCGCTCTCTCTCTTATCTCTTTTCTGTCTAAGATAGATTTCTGAACCTGAAATGTATTAGTTAAGCTTGAGCTAAGTTTCCCCAAATACTTAGTGAAACCAGGGTAGTGTTGTAATTGTTTGTGTTTGTTTTTCCTTTTCATGTCTATTAGTATTAGTACCATTATATATTTCATATACTTAGCAATAAATAAATTTATAGTCAAACTGGTAATAACTGGGTATATTTTTCCTTCTCTACTTCTCCTTCCCCACTTGCTCTGCAGCAATGTTTCGGTTTACCTAAGCTAAAGATCCCTGTGAAACCCCAATATACTGTGGGGTCTGCTCATCAAGAGGGTAAAGATCGAGACATGCTGAGTTTGAACCACATAAGGGATCAGCTTGTACAGGCTGATTAACGCAGTTTGGCTCAGATGTGCCCTAATGAACTGAATGCTGGCCCATGAGGGTGTCAGCTGGACACCCCGCCGGATTCAGAGGTATTCTGTTTAACTGTGTGCTTGTGTCCAACTGCAGTTTATTGTTGCTCTGATGAACTGATTCTTGGCATATGAGGGTGTCAGCCTGTCCATGCTGATCAACCCGGCCGGGTCAGACGTGTCACATTAATCTGTGTGTATTCATGTGTATGAGTGATTTGGTGACTGGAGAAACCCAGCCACATTGAAACTGAGTCCTGCAAGATAGCTCCATTAGGGGTGAGGACTTGCAGAAGGGAGATATACAGCTCTGTATAGAAACACAAGTAACACAAGCAGCACATTGATAGAATTACCAAGACCTTAGAAACGTATCCCTAATAAATGAGCACACCCCAAAGTGATGGGCAAATCTGGTAACAGTAGGTCATAGTCTCCACGGCTGAGTACATCTGCATACTCCAGTAAGGCTTCTTGCACTGCCCCCACTTGCTCAGGCTCCAGGCAATGACAACTTAATTTGAACTTATGTTCCAATTTTCCTGCAGTCCATTGGAGGTTATTGCCTGAGGTCTCTGAGGTTTTGGCTCTTGTCTGAGCTCTGTACTCTTATAGCAACCAAACTCTCTGATCCAGGGTCCATCTGCAAGGCAGTCACACTGGTCTTGAACATCCCAATTATGGTGCCTTGATTTGCAACCTGAGGCTGGTAGCAACAGGCACTGGAATTTCACCCTGTGGCTCTTACCTATTGCAGTTCCCATTAGGAATCCCAATCCTTCATTGAACTTAGATTCAAATAAGCCCTCCTCTTTTTCACAGCACCATCTCTTCATCTTGCTAGTGATCTTCACCTTACTTCTAGGAGGTATTACTAGATTTTTCTCTATTACCATGTCACATACCCTTGTTTATCCATCTGTGGTATACAGAGAGAAACACCTTCACAGAAAGGAACATAAATCTTCAAAACTCATAGTAACTTGAAATAGTTTTAGAAAGTTGGTGCCTAACAAGGCATCTTGATTGGCAACCTTTGCTATGAGGAATTTACATGGCAGCTGCAGGTGTTAGAAGTTATGGTTAGACTCCACTCTCTCAGGATTG